TAGTTTTGTTCGTGGAAACACCACAAAAAGAGGTACAGTAATTAGTGAATTTTAAAGTACAGTAATTAGTGAGGAATTAACACACATTTGAATTAGGGACACTTTTTATGTGGAAGACTCGTCCAAGAAGTTTCCTCTCTGTCGCGCAATGGGTTAGCGCGTTCGGCTGTTAACCGAAAGGTTGATGGTTCGCATCCATCCAGGGACGTTTTGGACTCGATCAATTTTGTCACAAAAATATTATTTCCGATAAAAACCAGTTCAGGCGGTAAAACTTTTAAGCAAATTTGAAGTTTGTGGTCAACCTATCTTCAAAGTAGACAAGGTAGAAAATTAACAAGCTTATGTTGGTAGGGAAGTTCTCCCGATATTTTCATGTTGTTGCATCCCTTCAAAGTCTGTTCAAAGTATCAAAAGGTCTACCCCAGCAACTGGGCTTGCACGGGAATCGAACCCGTGACCTCTCGCACCCTAAGCGAGAATCATACCACTAGACCAGCAAGCCGACATGTGAAAGAAGCAAAAATTTCGTTTGTTCCATTATATGAAATATGCAAAGAGAAGTCTTAGATAAACTCTTCAATCATTCCTGCAAGAAAGGAAACAACGTAACTATTCATAGCAGCAGTCACGGTAAGTTTTCTGTTTAAAGAAAAGCAAGAATCTGTGAAATTACTTCGGTATTTCCGACGGTCTTTGCCTTTAGATAAGAAAGTAGAGTATTAGTGAGGAACATATATCTGGGTTAGCGCAACATCGATATTTTATGTGGAAGACTCGTCCAAGTAGATTCGTCTCTGTGGCGCAATGGGTTAGCGCGTTCGGCTGTTAACCGAAAGGTTGATGGTTCGAATCCATCCAGGGACGTTTTGTATTCGACCAGTTCGGGTAGAAAAATATTTTTTCCAATACAAAACCATTTGAGGCGGTAAAACTTTTAAGCAAATTTGAAGTACATATTCAAGCTATCTTCAAAGTAGAGAAGGTGGAAAATTAACAAGCTGTTGTTTGTAGGGAAGTTCTGATATTTTCATGTTGGTGCATCCCTTCAAAGTCTGTTCAAAGAATCACAGTAGAAAATGTCTACCTAAGCAACTGGGCTTGCACGGGAATCGAACCCGTGACCTCTCGCACACGAAGCGAGAATCATACCACTAAACCAGCAAGCCGACTTGTGGAAGAAGCCAAAAGTTTCGTTTGTTCGATTATATGAAATTTGCAAAGAGAAGTCTTAGATAAACTCTTCAATTATTCCTGCAAGAAAGAAAACAACGTAACTCCTCATAGCAGCAGTAACGATAAGTTTTCTGTTTAAAGAAAAGTAAGAATCTGTGAAATTACTTCTGTATTTCCGACGGTCTTTGCCTTTAGATAAGAAAGTAGAGTAATTAGTGAGGAACACACATCTGGACTAGCGCAACATCGATATTTTATGTGGAAGACTCGTCCAAGTAGATTCGTCTCTGTGGCGCAATGGGTTAGCGCGTTCGGCTGTTAACCGAAAGGTTGATGGTTCGAATCGATCCAGCGACGTTTTGTATTCGACCAGTTCGGGTAGAAAAATATTTTTTCCAATACAAACCATTTCAGGCGGTAAAACTTTTAAGCAAATTTGAAGTAGATATTCAAGCTATCTTCAAAGTAGACAAGGTGGAAAATTAACAAGCTGTTGTTGGTAGGGAAGTTCTGATATTTTCATGTTGGTGCATCCTTCAAAGTCAGTTCAAAATATCAAAAGTAGAAAATGTCTACCCCAGCAACTGGGCTTGCACGGGAATCGAACCCGTGACCTCTGGCACCCTAAGCGAGAATCATACCACTAGACCAGCAAGCCGACATGTGAAAGAAGCCAAAAATTTCGTTTGTTCGATTATATGAAATTTACAAAGAAAAGTCTTAGATAAACTCTTCAATCATTCCTGCAAGAAAGAAAACAACGTAACTCCTCATAGCGGCAGTAACGGTAAGTTTCCTGTTTAAAGAAAAGTAGGAATCTGTGAAATTACTTCTATATTTCCGACGGTCCAAAACTTTAGATAAGAAAGTAAAGTAATTAGTGAGGAACACACATCTGGATTAGCGCAACATCGATATTTTATGTGGAAGACTCGTCCAAGTAGATTCGTCTCTGTGGCGCAATGGGTTAGCGCGTTCGGCTGTTAACCGAAAGGTTGATGGTTAGAATCCATCCAGGGACGTTTTGTATTCGACCAGTTCGGGTAGAAAAATATTTTTTCCAATACAAACCATTTCAGGCAGTAAAACTTTTAAGCAAATTTGAAGTACATATTCAAGCTATCTTCAAAGTAGACAAGGTGGAAAATTAACAAGCTGTTGTTGGTAGTGAAGTTCTGATAATTTTCATGTTGGTGCATCCTTCAAAGTCAGTTCAAAGTATCAAAAGTAGAAAATGTCTACCGCAGCAACTGGGCTTGCACGGGAATCGAAACCGTGACCTCTCGCACCCTAAGCGAGAATCATACCACTAGACCAGCAAGCCGACATGTGAAAGAAGCCAAAAATTTCGTTTGTTCGATTATATGAAATTTACAAAGAAAAGTCTTAGATAAACTCTTCAATCATTCCTGCAAGAAAGGAAACAACGTAACTATTCATAGCAGCAGTCACGGTAAGTTTTCTGTTTAAAGAAAAGCACGAATCTGTGAAATTACTTGTATATTTCCGACGGTCTTTGCCTTTAGAGAAGAGAGTAGAGTAATTAGTGAGGAACACACATCTGGATTAGCGCAACATCGATATTTTATGTGGAAGACTAATCCAAGTAGATTCGTCTCGGTGGCGCAATGGGTTAGTGCGTTCGACTCTTCACCAAAAGGTTGATTGTTCGAATCCGTGAAAGGACGTTTTGTACTCCATCAAATTTGGAGAAAAATATTTTTCCAAGAAAAACAATTTCAGGCGGTAAAACTTTTAAGCAAATTTGAAGTTTATGGTCAATCTTTCTTCAAAGTACAAAACGTGGAAAATTAACAAGCTTATGTTGGTAGGGAAGTTCTCCTGATACTTTCATGTTGTTGCATCCCTTCAAAGTCTGTTCAAAGTATCAAAGTAGAAAATATCTACCCATGCAACTGCGCTTGCACGGGAATCGAGCCCGTGAGCTCTGGCACACTAAGCGAGAATCATACCACTAGACCAGCAAGCCGACATGTGGAAGAAGGCAAAAGTTTCATTTGTTCGATTATATGAAATTTGCAAAGAGAAGTCTTAGATAAACTCTTCAATCATTCCTGCAAGAAAGAAAACGTAACTCCTCATAGCGGCAGTAACGGTAAGTTTCCTGTTTAAAGAAAAGTAGGAATCTGTGAAATTACTTCTATATTTCCGGCGGTCCAAAACTTTAGATAAGAAAGTAAAGTAATTAGTGAGGAACACACATCTGGATTAGCGCAACATCGATATTTTATGTGGAAGACTCGTCCAAGTAGATTCGTCTCTGTGGCGCAATGGGTTAGCGCGTTCGGCTGTTAACCGAAAGGTTGATGGTTCGAATCCATCCAGGGCCGTTTTGTATTCGACCAGTTCGGGTAGAAAAATATTTTTTCCAATACAAACCATTTCAGGCGGTAAAACTTTTAAGCTAAGGTGGAAAATTAACAAGCTGTTGTTGGTAGGGAAGTTCTGATATTTTCATGTTGGTGCATCCCTTCAAAGTCAGTTCAAAATATCAAAAGTAGAAAATGTCTACCCCAGCAACTGGGCTTGCACGGGAATCGAACCCGTGACCTCTCGCACCCTAAGCGAGAATCAAACCACTAGACCAGCAAGCCGACATGTGAAAGAAGCCAAAAATTTCGTTTGTTCGATTATATGAAATTTACAAAGAAAAGTCTTAGATAAACTCTTCAATCATTCCTGCAAGAAAGGAAACAACGTAACTATTCATAGCAGCAGTGACGGTAAGTTTTCTGTTTAAAGAAAAGTAAGAATCTGTGAAATTACTTCTGTATTTCCGACGGTCTTTGCCTTTAGATAAGAAAGTAGAGTAATTAGTGAGGAACATATATCTGGATTAGCGCAACATCGATATTTTATGTGGAAGACTCGTCCAAGTAGATTCGTCTCTGTGGCGCAATGGGTTAGCGAGTTCGGCTGTTAACCGAAAGGTTGATGGTTCGAATCCATCCAGCGACGTTTTGTATTCGACCAGTTCGGGTAAAAAAATATTTTTTCCAATACAAACCATTTCAGGCGGTAAAACTTTTAAGCAAATTTGAAGTACATATTCAAGCTATCTTCAAAGTAGACAAGGTGGAAAATTAACAAGCTTATGTTGGTAGGGAAGTTCTGCTGATACTTTCATGTTGTTGCATCCCTTCAAAGCCTGTTCAAATATCAAAGTAGGAAATGTCTACCCATGCAACTGCGCTTGCATGGGAATCGAACCCGTGACCTCTCGCACACTAAGCGAGAATCATATCACTAGACCAGCAAGCCGACATGTCGAAGAAGCCAAAAGTTTCGTTTGGTCGATTATATGAAATTTGCAAAGAGAAGTCTTAGGTAAACTCTTCAATCATTCCTGCAAGAAAGAAAACAACGTAACTCCTCATAGCAGCGGTCACGGTAAGTTTTCTGTTTAAAGAAAAGTAGGAATCTGTGGAATTACTTCTATATTTCCGACGGCCCAAACCTTTAGATAAGAAAGTAGAGTAATTAGTGAGGAACACACATCTGGATTAGCGCAACATCGATATTTTATGTGGAAGACTCATCCAAGTAGATTCGTCTCTGTGGCGCAATGGGTTAGTGGGTTCGGCTGTTAATCGAAAGATTAATGGTTCGAATCCATCCTGGGCCGTTTTGTATTCGATCAATTTGGGCAGAAAAATATTTTTTCCAATACAAATCATTTTAGCCGGTAAAACGTTTAAGCAAATTTGAAGTACATGTTAAACCTATCTTCAAAGTAGACAAGCTGGAAAATTAACAAGCTTTTGTTGGTAGGGAAGTTCTCCTGATACTTTCATTTTGTTGCATCCTTCAAAGTCTGTTCAAAGTATCAAAACTAGAAAATGTCTACCTCAGCTACTGGGCTTGCACGGGAATCGAATCGGTGACCTCTCGCACCCGAAGCGAGAATCATACCACTAGACCAGCAAGCCGACATGTGGAAGAAGCCAAAAGTTTCGTTTATTCGATTATATCAAATTTGCAAAGAAAAGTCTTAGATAAACTCTTCAATCATTCCTGCAAGAAAGGAAACAGCGTAACTCCTCATAGCAGCAGTCACGGTAAGTTTTCTGTTTAAAGAAAAGTAGGAATCTGTGAAATTACTTCTATATTTCCGACGGTCTTTGTCTTTAGATAAGAAAGTAGAGTAATTAGTGAGGAACATATATCTGGATTAGCGCAACATCGATATTTTATGTGGAAGACTCGTCCAAGTAGATTCGTCTCTGTGGCGCAATGGGTTAGCGAGTTCGGCTGTTAACCGAAAGGTTGATGGTTCGAATCCATCCAGCGACGTTTTGTATTCGACCAGTTCGGGTAAAAAAATATTTTTTCCAATACAAACCATTTCAGGCGGTAAAACTTTTAAGCAAATTTGAAGTACATATTCAAGCTATCTTCAAAGTAGACAAGGTGGAAAATTAACAAGCTTATGTTGGTAGGGAAGTTCTGCTGATACTTTCATGTTGTTGCATCCCTTCAAAGCCTGTTCAAATATCAAAGTAGGGAATGTCTACCCATGCAACTGCGCTTGCATGGGAATCGAACCCGTGACCTCTCGCACACTAAGCGAGAATCATACCACTAGACCAGCAAGCCGACATGTCAAAGAAGCCAAAAGTTTCGTTTGGTCGATTATATGAAATTTGCAAAGAGAAGTCTTAGGTAAACTCTTCAATCATTCCTGCAAGAAAGAAAACAACGTAACTCCTCATAGCAGCGGTCACGGTAAGTTTTCTGTTTAAAGAAAAGTAGGAATCTGTGGAATTACTTCTATATTTCCGACGGCCCAAACCTTTAGATAAGAAAGTAGAGTAATTAGTGAGGAACACACATCTGGATTAGCGCAACATCGATATTTTATGTGGAAGACTCATCCAAGTAGATTCGTCTCTGTGGCGCAATGGGTTAGTGGGTTCGGCTGTTAATCGAAAGGTTGATGGTTCGAATCCATCCTGGGCCGTTTTGTATTCGATCAATTTGGGCAGAAAAATATTTTTTCCAATAGAAATCATTTTAGCCGGTAAAACGTTTAAGAATATTTGAAGTACATGTTCAACCTATCTTCAAAGTAGACAAGGTGGAAAATTAACAAGCTTTTGTTGGTAGGGAAGTTCTCCTGATACTTTCATTTTGTTGCATCCTTCAAAGTCTGTTCAAAGTATCAAAAGTAGAAAATGTCTACCTCAGCTACTGGGCTTGCACGGGAATCGAACCCGTGACCTCTCGCACCCGAAGCGAGAATCATACCACTAGACCAGCAAGCCGACATGTGGAAGAAGCCAAAAGTTTCGTTTGTTCGATTATATCAAATTTGCAAAGAAAAGTCTTAGATAAACTCTTCAATCATTCCTGCAAGAAAGAAAACAGCGTAACTCCTCATAGCAGCAGTCACGGTAAGTTTTCTATTTAAAGAAAAGTAGCAATCTGTGAAATTACTTCTATATTTCCGACGGTCTTTGTCTTTAGATAAGAAAGTAGAGTAATTAGTGAGGAACATATATCTGGATTAGCGCAACATCGATATTTTATGTGGAAGACTCGTCCAAGTAGATTCGTCTCTGTGGCGCAATGGGTAAGCGCGTTCGGCTGTTAACCGAAAGGTTGATGGTTCGAATCCATCCAGGGACGTTTTGTATTCGACCAGTTCGGGTAGAAAAATATTTTTTGCAATACAAACCATTTCAGGCGGTAAAACTTTTAAGCAAATTTGAAGTACATATTCAAGCTATCTTCAAAGTAGACAAGGTGGAAAATTAACAAGCTGTTGTTGGTAGGGAAGTTCTGATAATTTTCATGTTGGTGCATCCCTTCAAAGTCAGTTCAAAGTATCAAAAGTAGAAAATGTCTACCCCAGCAACTGGGCTTGCACGGGAATCGAACCCGTGACCTCTTCCATCCTAAGCGAGAATCATACCACTAGACCAGCAAGCCGACATGTGAAAGAAGCCAAAAATTTCGTTTGTTCGATTATATGAAATTTACAAAGAAAAGTCTTAGATAAACTCTTCAATCGTTCCTGCAAGAAAGGAAACAACGTAACTATTCATAGCAGCAGTCACGGTAAGTTTTCTGTTTAAAGAAAAGCACGAATCTGTGAAATTACTTGCATATTTCCGACGGTCTTTGCCTTTAGATAAGAGAGTAGAGTAATTAGTGAGGAACACACATCTGGATTAGCGCAACCTCGATATTTTATGTGGAAGACTCGTCCAAGAAGTTTCGTCTCTGTCGCGCAATGGGTTAGCGCGTTCGGCTGTTAACCGAAAGGTTGATGGTTCGCATCCATCCACGGACGTTTTGGACTCGATCAATTTTGTCACAAAAATATTATTTCCAATAAAAATCAGTTCAGGCGGTAAAACTTTTAAGCAAATTTGAAGTTTGTGGTCAACCTATCTTCAAAGTAGACAAGGTAGAAAATTAACAAGCTTATGTTGGTAGGGAAGTTCTCCCGATATTTTCATGTTGTTGCATCCCTTCAAAGTCTGTTCAAAGAATCAAAAGGTCTACCCCAGCAACTGGGCTTGCACGGGAATCGAACCCGTGACCTCACGCACCCTAAGCGAGAATCATACCACTAGACCAGCAACCCGACATGTGAAAGAAGCAAAAATTTCGTTTGTTCCATTATATGAAATATGCAAAGAGAAGTCTTAGATAAACTCTTCAATCATTCCTGCAAGAAAGGAAACAACGTAACTATTCATAGCAGCAGTCACGGTAAGTTTTCTGTTTAAAGAAAAGTAAGAATCTGTGAAATTACTTCGGTATTTCCGACGGTCTTTGCCTTTAGATAAGAAAGTAGAGTAATTAGTGAGGAACATATATCTGGATTAGCGCAACATCGATATTTTATGTGGAAGACTCCTCCAAGTAGATTCGTCTCTGTGGCGCAATGGGTTAGCGCGTTCGGCTGTTAACCGAAAGGTTGATGGTTCGAATCCATCCAGGGACGTTTTGTATTCGACCAGTTCGGGTAGAAAAATATTTTTTCCAATACAAACCATTTCAGGCGGTAAAACTTTTAAGCAAATTTGAAGTACATATTCAAGCTATCTTCAAAGCAGACAAGGTGGAAAATTAACAAGCTGTTGTTTGTAGGGAAGTTCTGATATTTTCTTGTTATTGCATCCCTTCAAAGTCTGTTCAAAGAATCACAGTAGAAAATGTCTACCCAAGCAAATGGGCTTGCACGGGAATCGAAACCGTGACCTCTCGCACACGAAGCGAGAATCATACCACTAGACCAGCAAGCCGACATGTGGAAGAAGCCAAAAGTTTCGCTTGTTCGATTAGATGAAATTTGCAAAGAGAAGTCTTAGATAAACTCTCCAATCATTCCTGCAAGAAAGAAAACAACGTAACTCCTCATAGCAGCAGTAACGGTAAGTTTTCTGTTTAAAGAAAAGTAGGAATCTGTGAAATTACTTCTATATTTCCGACGGTCTTTGTCTTTAGATAAGAAAGTACAGTAATACGTTCTTCGTATGTTTGCATGGCGATAAAATATAATAGTTTTGTTCGTGGAAACACCACAAAAAGAGGTACAGTAATTAGTGAATTTTAAAGTACAGTAATTAGTGAGGAATTAACACACATTTGAATTAGCGCAACATAGATATTTTATGTGGAAGACTCGTCCAACAAGTTTCGTCTCTGTCGCGCAATGGGTTAGCGCGTTCGGCTGTTAACCGAAAGGTTGATGGTTCGCATCCATCCAGGGACGTTTTGGACTCGATCAATTTTGTCACAAAAATATTATTTCCAATAAAAACCAGTTCAGGCGGTAAAACTTTTAAGCAAATTTGAAGTTTGTGGTCAACCTATCTTCAAAGTAGACAAGGTAGAAAATTAACAAGCTTATGTTGGTAGGGAAGTTCTCCCGATATTTTCATGTTGTTGCATCCCTTCAAAGTCTGTTCAAAGAATCAAAAGGTCTACCCCAGCAACTGGGCTTGCACGGGAATCGAACCCGTGACCTCACGCACCCTAAGCGAGAATCATACCACTAGACCAGCAACCCGACATGTGAAAGAAGCAAAAATTTCGTTTGTTCCATTATATGAAATATGCAAAGAGAAGTCTTAGATAAACTCTTCAATCATTCCTGCAAGAAAGGAAACAACGTAACTATTCATAGCAGCAGTCACGGTAAGTTTTCTGTTTAAAGAAAAGTAAGAATCTGTGAAATTACTTCGGTATTTCCGACGGTCTTTGCCTTTAGATAAGAAAGTAGAGTAATTAGTGAGGAACATATATCTGGATTAGCGCAACATCGATATTTTATGTGGAAGACTCCTCCAAGTAGATTCGTCTCTGTGGCGCAATGGGTTAGCGCGTTCGGCTGTTAACCGAAAGGTTGATGGTTCGAATCCATCCAGGGACGTTTTGTATTCGACCAGTTCCGGTAGAAAAATATTTTTTCCAATACAAACCATTTCAGGCGGTAAAACTTTTAAGCAAATTTGAAGTACATATTCAAGCTATCTTCAAAGTAGACAAGGTGGAAAATTAACAAGCTGTTGTTTGTAGGGAAGTTCTGATATTTTCATGTTATTGCATCCCTTCAAAGTCTGTTCAAAGAATCACAGTAGAAAATGTCTACCCAAGCAAATGGGCTTGCACGGGAATCGAAACCGTGACCTCTCGCACACGAAGCGAGAATCATACCACTAGACCAGCAAGCCGACATGTGGAAGAAGCCAAAAGTTTCGTTTGTTCGATTATATGAAATTTGCAAAGAGAAGTCTTAGATAAACTCTTCAATCATTCCTGCAAGAAAGAAAACAACGTAACTCCTCATAGCGGCAGTAACGATAAGTTTCCTGTTTAAAGAAAAGTAGGAATCTGTGAAATTACTTCTATATTTCCGACGGTCCAAAACTTTAGATAAGAAAGTAAAGTAATTAGTGAGGAACACACATCTGGATTAGCGCAACATCGATATTTTATGTGGAAGACTCGTCCAAGTAGATTCGTCTCTGTGGCGCAATGGATTAGCGCGTTCGGCTGTTAACCGAAAGGTTGATGGTTCGAATCCATCCAGGGACGTTTTGTATTCGACCAGTTCGGGTAGAAAAATATTTTTTCCAATACAAACCATTTCAGGCGCTAAAACTTTTAAGCTAAGGTGGAAAATTAACAAGCTGTTGTTGGTAGGGAAGTTCTGATATTTTCATGTTGGTGCATCCCTTCAAAGTCAGTTCAAAATATCAAAAGTAGAAAATGTCTACCCCAGCAACTGGGCTTGCACGGGAATCGAACCCGTGACCTCTCGCACCCTAAGCGAGAATCATACCACTAGACCAGCAAGCCGACATGTGAAAGAAGCCAAAAATTTGGTTTGTTCGATTATATGAAATTTACAAAGAAAAGTCTTAGATAAACTCTTCAATCATTCCTGCAAGAAAGGAAACAACGTAACTATTCATAGCAGCAGTGACGGTAAGTTTTCTGTTTAAAGAAAAGTAAGAATCTGTGAAATTACTTCTGTATTTCCGACGGTCTTTGCCTTTAGATAAGAAAGTAGAGTAATTAGTGAGGAACACACATCTGGACTAGCGCAACATCGATATTTTATGTGGAAGACTCGTCCAAGTAGATTCGTCTCTGTGGCGCAATGGGTTAGCGCGTTCGGCTGTTAACCGAAAGGTTGATGGTTCGAATCGATCCAGCGACGTTTTGTATTCGACCAGTTCGGGTAGAAAAATATTTTTTCCAATACAAACCATTTCAGGCGGTAAAACTTTTAAGCAAATTTGAAGTAGATATTCAAGCTATCTTCAAAGTAGACAAGGTGGAAAATTAACAAGCTGTTGTTGGTAGGGAAGTTCTGATATTTTCATGTTGGTGCATCCTTCAAAGTCAGTTCAAAGTATCAAAAGTAGAAAATGTCTACCCCAGCAACTGGGCTTGCACGGGAATCGAACCCGTGACCTCTCGCACCCTAAGCGAGAATCATACCACTAGACCAGCAAGCCGACATGTGAAAGAAGCCAAAAATTTCGTTTGTTCGATTATATGAAATTTACAAAGAAAAGTCTTAGATAAACTCTTCAATCTTCCTGCAAGAAAGAAAACAGCGTAACTCCTCATAGCAGCAGTCACGGTAAGTTTTCTGTTTAAAGAAAAGTAAGAATCTGTGAAATTATTTCTGTATTTCCGACGGTCTTTGCCCTAACATAAGACAGTAGAGTAATTAGTGAGGAACACACATCTGGATTAGCGCAACATCGATATTTTATGTGGAAGACTCGTTCAAGTAGATTCGTCTCTGTGGCGCAATGGGTTAGCGCGTTCGGCTGTTAACCGAAAGGTTGATGGTTCGAATCCATCCAGGGACGTTTTGTACTCCATCAATTTTGGCAGAAAAATATTTTTCCAATAAAAACCATTTCAGGCAGTAAAACGTTTAAGCAAATTTGAAGTACATGTTCAACCTATCTTCAAAGTAGACAAGGTAGAAAATTAACAAGCTTATGTTGGTAGGGAAGTTTTGCTGATACTTTCATGTTGTTGCATCCCTTCAAAGCCTGTTCAAAATATCAAAGTAGGAAATGTCTACCCATGCAACTGCGCTTGCATGGGAATCGAACCCGTGACCTCTCGCACACTAAGCGAGAATCATACCTCTAGACCAGCAAGCCGACATGTCGAAGAAGCCAAAAGTTTCGTTTGGTCGATTATATGAAATTTGCAAAGAGATGTCTTAGGTAAACTCTTCAATCATTCCTGCAAGAAAGAAAACAACGTAACTCCTCATAGCAGCGGTCACGGTAAGTTTTCTGTTTAAAGAAAAGTAGGAATCTGTGGAATTACTTCTATATTTCCGACGGCCCAAACCTTTAGACAAGAAAGTAGAGTAATTAGTGAGGAACACACATCTGGATTAGCGCAACATCGATATTTTATGTGGAAGACTCATCCAAGTAGATTCGTCTCTGTGGCGCAATGGGTTAGTGGGTTCGGCTGTTAATCGAAAGGTTGATGGTTCGAATCCATCCTGGGCCGTTTTGTATTCGATCAATTTGGGCAGAAAAATATTTTTTCCAATAGAAATCATTTTAGCCGGTAAAACGTTTAAGCAAATTTGAAGTACATGTTCAACCTATCTTCAAAGTAGACAAGGTGGAAAATTAACAAGCTTTTGTTGGTAGGGAAGTTCTCCTGATATTTTTATGTTGTTGCATCCCTTCGAAGTCTGTTCAAAGTAGAAAATGTCTACCCATGCAATTGCGCTTGCACGGGAATCGAACCCGTGACCTCTCCCAGCCGAAGCGAGAATCATACCACTAGACCAGCAAGCCGACATGTGGAAGAAGCCAAAAGTTTCGTTTGTTGGATTATATGAAATTTGCAAAGAAAAGTCTTAGATAAACTCTTCAATCATTCCTGCAAGAAAGGAAACAGCGTAACTCCTCATAGCAGCAGTCACGGTAAGTTTTCTGTTTAAGGAAAAGTAAGAATCTGTGAAATTACTTCTATATTTCCGACGGTCTTTGCCTTTAGGTACGAAATTAGAGTAATTAGTTAGGAACACACATCTGGATTAGCGCAACATCGATATTTTATGTGGAAGACTCGTCCAAGTAGATTCGTCACTGTGGCGCAATGGGTTAGCGCGTTCGGCTGTTAACTGAAAGGTTGATGGTTGGAATCATCCACGGACGTTTTGTATTCGATCAATTTTGGCAGGAAAATATTTTTTCCAATAAAGACCATTTCAGGCGGTAAAACTTTTAAGCAAATTTGAAGTTCATGTTCACCCTATCCTCAAAGTAGACAAGGTAGAAAATTAACAGGCTTTTGTTGGTAGGGAAGTTTTCCTGATATTTTCATGTTATTGCATCCCTTCAAAGTGTGTTCAAAGTAGAAAATGTCTACCCAAGCAACAGGGCTTACACGGGAATCGAACCCGTGACCTCTCGCACCCTAAGCGAGAAACATACCACAAGACCAGCAAGCCGACATGTGAAAAAAGCCAAAAGTTTCGTTTGTTCGATTATATGAAATTTGCGAAGAAAATTTTTAGATAAAAGAATCATAGCACTAGACCAGCAAGCCGACATGTTTCGTTTGGTCGATTGTGTCAAATTTCCCCAAAAGAATCTCGGCTGAATTTGCTTAGTATTTACGGTAATTTCTCAGTTTGAGGAATAGCAAGAATCTATCAATTATTGTTGCAAGGAAAAAAGGTAGGTCGTGGTAGCAGCCGTTACGGTAAGTGTTCTATGTTAAATTCTAGTAATAATATATTCGGGATATGACCGTGCAGGGTTCGTAGTCTCCAAGACCGAAAAAATTCAAAGACTTTCAAAGATTTTTTCTGCCTATTTTCAAAGACTTTTCAAAGACCTTTTAGGGCAATCAGCTGTCGAAAAATTGCGAGTGTAAGCACCATTTTTACCCAGTAATTAGTCCCGTCAAATCACACCCTAAAATGCGCCTTTTCGTCGATATTTGCGAAAATCTTGCTTTAATCAATCTATTTTATTAGCTAGGAAATCGTATAATCAAATACTCACTAAAGAATTCAAAGACTTTTAAAGACTTTCTTCGCTTTTTCACACAATTTAAAGACTTTTCAAAGACCTCAAAGACCTGCATTCCAATTTAAAGACTTTCAAGGATTTCAAAGACCGCTACGAACCCTGCCGTGGTGGACGTATGAGTACTTTTCTGTGTATGATGATGTGTAAATAAACACAAACCAAGGCCATGAATTTGACAGCGAACCATTTAAATAGACTTTGGCAAGGGTAAAGTATTTGAGAACTGCGTAAATTATTTGAGGAGTATGCGCCTTTCTCCGGAGACGTTTTCAATAGGAAATCCATTACCAGTAACGCGTATGTGCTTTAAAGCAGGGGATTACAGATGGGGAAGGAGAACAGGCTCATGTATAGTACCAGGGTCTGATGTGCGCCAATGAGATATATAACTAAATATTTTGCATTAATTATTGTATTAGACTAAGGTGGCGAGTCTAGCTGTACGAATGCAATTTCTAACCAATTAGCATAGTAGGAAACAACGTTTCCACAATATTTCTTCAAGTCTCCCTTTCTCTGATTTACTATAGTGCGAATTACATGAGTAGTGGGCGAGGGAAAGCGAGAAACAGAGATTTTAGAAACGTCAACATTGGACCCGAAATAAATTATTTCAATTGTTTTTTCTTTTCCATGTTATTATTTTTTTCCGTGACAACCTGTTCAATTATTCAATTACTGTTACTTATACTTCTATTCGTTTTGCCTGTTTTTATTCTATTTGGGCGATGCTCATCAAGCTCCAATGTCAATGGTCATTGATGTATAAAATACTTTGTCCATCGGGAAGGATTTTGTTCTTAATTGATCACCAACAATGGACCATGAGAACATTGCCGATGAATTGCAAAAAATAAAAACCGGGCTTTATTAATACCAGTGTTACGAGATGCTTCTATCGCCAAATTCCGTTTTCACGACATTCTTTCCAAAGTTCTTCACATTTTCCAACTCCTTCGGCAGAGGTTGTTCTAAAGCTTCTAACAAGTCTCTTAGCTCAGCTGCAATCTTACAATCCAAAGTCAAAAAAGAAGTTGCTAATCCATGTCTTGACATCCTGCCAGTACGACCGCATCGGTGAATGTAATCCTCGATAGTGTCTGGAATATCGTAATTAATCACATGCGTCACCTCGGGAATGTCAAGACCACGTGATGCCAAATCCGTAGCAACAAGTACATCGACTTTGCCATTTTTGAATCCGGTCATAAGTTTAAATCGATATTCTTGACTCTTTTCTGAATGCAGACCTGCCACATGAAACTGTTCTTTCCTTAAATGACGAACAAGGAAGTCGACAGCTTGTATAGAAGATGCAAACACTATAACAGGAGGGAATTCAGTTTGACGAAGAATTTCTAATATCTTTCTAGGTTTTTCATAGGTATGTAAAAACAAAACCTGATGCTTGATATTTGGAGCTGTTACCTGGGTGGCACCTACTTGAATCTCGACAGGATTCACTACAGCAGACCTTGCCAGCCGCTGCAGTGATTCAGGCAGTGTAGCGGAAAACAATAGCGTTTGGCAGGGTTTGCTCTCGGCAGTTACCAACGCAACAACCTTTCTCAATTGCTCTTCAAGTCCCATTCCAAGCATCCTATCTACTTCATCTAAAACGAAGTACTTTATGCCCAATAACGACAGTGCACCACGATCACATAGATCAAGTAATCGACCGGGAGTTGCAACTATAACATCGACACCTGCCTCTATCTCCTGAATTTGGGCCTGAGCTGACACACCACCACAAATGGCAGCTGCTTTGTATTGTATTGCTCCACTAAGTTTTGGAAGCTGTGTAGCTGCAATATGTGTGTCAATGCAAATGCAATTTAAAAGGTTGTTCACGTCTCTGAATATCTGCTGCATCAACTCTCGGGTTGGAACAACAATCAATGCCACAGGGGATTCCCCACGTTTCTTAGGTGGCTCTTCTTTCAACCAGATTGCCAATGGTAATGTATATGCCAATGTTTTTCCAGACCCAGTTTCTGCAAGGCCAATAACATCTCTCCCACTCAATGAACAGCTTAGAGACTGCATTTGAATTGGTGTTGGACGCAAAAATCTCGCTTCTTTGAGGTAGTTCGTCACGGAATCATCGAGATGGAGGTCAGCAAAACTACTGATTGGAGCTGGGCAGTCAGCACCTTTGAACAGAAAAAGACTATCTTATGGTATGCTATAGCCTGCGAACAGGCTCTCAAGCTGAATTGAGAGCCTGCATCGATGACTAATGAATTTGAATATCTGCCCCGTAACGTTCGTTTTTCCAAATATGGAATGTCTATCCTTATATGGTGTTGTTTACAACTTTCGTGCAAACTAAATTTAGACCGTACAGTTTATACTGTTTTTCGAAATATAAGATATTCAAGCAAAAGTTCAAATGTTTTAAATACTGTTTTCTCAAAACAGAACATTTCGTGCTTTGAGATAAGATGGCCAAGACCAATTTGATTAGTTAATGTGTTTTTTACTGCATAGAGCTTCAGCAGTTGACATATATAGAGCTCAGCGGAAACATATAAATTATAGCATCTGACCAATGAGAATTTCGCGTTACGATTTGAGACGCAGATATTCACATTCATTAGTCATCGATGCAGGCTCTCAATTCAGCTTGAGAGCCTGTTCGCAGGCTAGGTATGCTAAAGACTACAATCTTGGCCAAAAGTTCGTAGAACGACTAAACCAATTCGCCACTTTTTAATATACTTGGGTTTTAAAATTATATTGTACCTCCCCCCAATCCCCCCATTCAATGTTGCTTTCCCACATTTCTACTACACGTAACATTTTGTCTGTACAATATGTTAAACCATAAATATAGGCGAAACGTCAACATTGAATGGGGGGAAAAGGGGGAGGCCTTGAAAATGCGCAAAAATTTATCATCGTCCTACGGTTAATGGCCAAGAGTTGTAACACAAAGAAATACCATACAGCCTCATTACCTTTTTTAAATTGATGACTATTTTATATAGTGGGGCAGATTGATGAATATTATGGACAGGCTTTTACGGCTTTTTATCCCTTTTTCTTTTTTTTCAGGCTTTTTTTCTTTTCTTTTTTTTTCTTCTTTTTACGCCAGTAGGGTGTCCAGGTGTCCTAGGACGTTATACCCTAAGGACATTTTTTGGCTATAGGGGCGTTACAGATTCCGCTCCAGGGAAGACGCTGACTTGGATTTCTTGTTTAATAAACCTTATCTTATAAAAATACTATCTTATAAAAAAGTGAAATTTCAAAGTTCACTTTTAGGAAATGTTTTATTTAATTGCCCAAATTACATAGTTATTTACATTTATTTCCTTTTGAGATACTTTCAGAGAGCTAGAGACCTTTGGAAACCTGTATAGGCTTTTATTTAAATATCACCTATATCTTTAGAAAGCTCGCAATAAAATAATTATGAGACATTTAAACGGTCCTTGCAGCTTCATGTTGATCGCACAGACAAAAACAATAGAAAAGGGACTGGAACTGACGTCCAATAGCTACATCACAATTTCACTTTTTGGACTTGAGTTCTCCGTATATGGAGCAAGTCTGAGTCACACCCTCAAGTCCAAACTCGAGTCCATTAGTTCAAGACTTCCAGACACGACTACCACCCAGTGTGGAAAGTTTGTATTGCACAACTGAGATATTTGGCATGCAATTTTTGTGCTTTCTACAGTATATATTTATTTTTATTTATTTATTTATTAAACTTTGCCAAAAACACTTAACAGAACAGCAAATAGACATCTACACAATAAACATGGACAAAAATGGCAGGGACACCACAACAGTGTAACCAATTACTGTGGGCCCTATATGTAGGATCTAACCCGAAAAGTAGGGCCTAATCGCCTGCGAGCGGGTAGGACATCACGTGATAAAAACACATGTTGGTTTTATATTATTTGATTGTTTGTTCGGATTACGAAGGGCAAAAGTCAGGTACATTTGCATGTTTTTGTCCTGTTTTCTATGTATTTGTAAAGTAATTTGTTTCTTGTAGCGTAGCTTATAATGTATTTGACGTATTGCTTCTATAGAAACCACCTTTAAAGCGATGTTTTGTACGAAAATATATTGATATATGAATTTAATATGGATTCAATTTTATACGTGGTGCGTTTCGGATAATCCCTTTCAAGAACAACAAAGTTTCTGACTTCTTCGTAAGTTATTGCTATTGTGTGATTATTTGTGTATATTTGTGGCTTAATGAAGCGTGAATTCTTCAAATTAAATTTGATTATTGTGAATAAATAGTCTTGCACCGTGATAAAAGGTGTATTGTTGGATCACATGGGGTCTAGAAGGGTTAATGATGGACGGTTGAATATGGAATATGAATGCAGTAAGAGACGAGAGAGAAGGTGTTTCAACACAATATACTGCTGAATGTTCAAATGCCCCTAAAGGCCCACTCTAAGTGTCAAGTCAAGTCAAAGTAATGCAAGCATCAGTAGAAGCAAGTTGCAGTTGCAGTTAAGGTAACTGAAAGAAAGACAACAATTAGATAGGGAAGCTCGGCATTTAGAACTAGAAATGCAAAAACAAGAATTAGAACTAGAAAGGAAACGACGATTCGCTGAGATTGCAGAAAGGAAGGAATTGCAAGAAATGGAAGCTAAGTTAGCACATGCTGAGCTCTTGGAACAATTCGAAGTCGATAGTGATGATCAGATCTCCGATGATGGTAACAGAGAACTGAATATGACGAGTCATGACCATGAGGGAAATGGACCTTATGATGATGCGGAACGTCGAGATGCGGAGCAACGTGAAGCGGAGCGTCGAGATATGGAACGTCGAGATGCGGAACAACGTGAAGCGGAGCGGCGAGATGCGGAGCGGCGAGATGCGGAACGTCGAGATGCGGAGCAACGTGAAGCGGAGCGTCGAGATATGGAACGTCAAGATACGGAACAGCGTGAAGCAGAGTGGCGAGATGCGCAAAGTCGAGATACGGAGCGTCGAGATGCGGAACGTCGAGATGCGGAGCAACGTGAAGCGGAGCGGCGAGATGCGGAACGTCGAGATGCGGAGCGAGGAGATGCGGAACGTCGAGATGCGGAGCGACGAAAGACAGAAAATAGAGAATTATATGATGATGATGATGATAAACTTTATTTAACCACGCTAACATTGTCAGCAGAAGCTGGTTTCCACAATGGGCGTGTAAAAAACATTAACAAATTGTTACAAGTAAAATAATAAGGAAGTATTAACATGCAGAATATAAAATTATTAAAATATATACAAAAAGTTTGCTATTTACAATGATGTGGGTTTCTTTATAAGCTATAGGTAGCGATTTTTCTTTTAAAACTTGAGAGCGAATTACTTTCTCTTATATTTTTTGGAAGAGAGTTCCATATGGAAGCTCCATCATACATGAAACTCTTTTTCATATTGTTTGTGTTTGTGTTTGGCTTGGGCAAACGTATGGTACTTGAGCTGTTACGAAGACTGCGGTCTAATATTTCTTTTTTGAAAGTAAATAATTCTTTGAGACAATTTGGC